GGGGCCCCCGGGGGGCCCCCCGATGTACCCTTGGGGGCTTCCCTTGGGGGCCCCCTGGGGGGCCCCCCAGCTGGAGAAGAATTGAGGCTAGCAAGGGGAGACATAAAAAGGTTTTCAACTTTAACTCTTATACCTGGGCAGCCTCGGAAGTGGAAAAGAGTAAACCCTAAACCCTAAACCCTAAACCCTAGGTCGTACGCCGCAGGTGCAGCGCCGCAGCGTGCCGCGCCCTCACCTAAACCCTAAACCCCAAACCCCAAACCCTAAACCCTAAACCCCAGACCCTAGGTCCCGCCTGTGCTGCTGACCTTAAACCCTAAACCCTAAACCCTAAACCCTCGTGCGCAGGTTATTCGCCGAGTGGGCAACACTACAAGGGCGGTTTGGGAGTCGATACCTGAGACAGAAGACCCTTTGCTGCTGACAGTCCAGGTAAGTGCTGCTGCTGCTGCTGCTGCAGCTGCTGCTGTCTCTGCTGCCAGTGCTGCTGCTGCTGCTGTCGCTACTGCGGCTCTACTGCTGCAGCTGTTGTTTCTGCTGCTGCAGCTGCTCTTGCTGCCGCTAGCGCTGTGGCCACTGCTGCGCGTGCCACCTCTGCTGCTGTTGCTGCTGCTGCTGCTGCTGCTGCTGCAGGCTTTGCTGCAGCAAGGCGGGGGGCCCCTGCGGCGCACTGCCCGCAGCGCCCGGCTGGTGGCTTCGCAGATAAGAGAGACAGCAAGACAGCTGGGGCAGCAGCAGCAGCAGCAGGCCCCCTTGCTGCCACTGGCTGTGCCTGCTGCTGCTGCTGAGAAGGCGGCTGCTGCAGCAGCAGCGGCCGCTGCTGCTGCAGCGGCTGCTGCTGCTGCTGCTGCTGCGGGGGCAGCTCCGGCAGGCAATGCTGCAGCCCCTGGTGCTACAGCAGGGGCTCCTGCTGCTGCTGCAGCACTACTGCCAGCAGCCACAGCAGGGGCTGCAGCGGCAGCAGCTGCTGCTGCTGCTGGTGCTCCTGCTGGTGAGCTAGCGACTGCAGCAGCAAAGCCACCTGCTCAGGATGCAGCAGCGGCTGCTGCTCCAGCAGCTGCAGCAGTACCAGCTGCTCATGCAGCAGCCGCTAGCGATGGAGGAGTTGCTGCAGTGGAACCAAAGCCAGCAACTGCAGCAGCAGATACAGCAGCGGCAGCAGCAGCAGCATTCGCAGCAGCAACAGATGCAGCAGGCGGCGCAGCACTGCCTGAGAGCGTTGCAGCAGCAGCAGCAACGTTTGCAGCAACAGCACCTGCTGCGGCCGACGCTGCAGCAGCTGCCCCCCCTACAGCAGCAGCAGAAGACAGGGGGCCTGATTTGCAGCCCCAAGCTGCTGCAGCAGCAGTAACTGAAGCCGCACCAGCAGCAACTGATGGTGCAGCAGCAGCAACAAATGGTGTCGCTGCAGCAATAACAAATGATGTCGCAGCGGTAGCAGCAGCAGCTGATGCTGCGGCTGCAGCTGCAACAAATGCTGCAGCAGCAGCAATCGACGCAGCAGCAGCAGCAGGTGATACTGGGGTGGCAGCAACTGACGTTGCAGCAGCAGCAGCACCTGTTGCTGCAGCAGTATCTGATGCAGCGGCAGCAGCAGCAACTGACGCTACAGCAGCAACAGCAACTGATGCTGCAGCAGCAACCGACGCTGCAGCGGCAGCAGCAACTGCTCCTGTAGCAGCAGTTGACGCAGCAGCAGTAGCAGCAACTGACGCAGCAGCAGCAGCAGCAACTGATGCTGCAGGAGCAGCAACAGATGTTGCAGCCGCAGCAATCGAAGTTGCAGCGAAAGTAACCATCGCAGCATCAGCAACTCTTGCTGCCAGCAATGAAGCAGCAAAGCCATAGATGAAGCCTCCAGCTTGCAAAAGGTTGCTGCTGCTGCTGCTGCTGCTGCCAGTTGCTGCAGCAGCAGAAGCATGCACGGCAGCTGACTTCGCTGCAGCAGCTACCGCTGCTGCTGCGTAGTCAGCCCGCAGCCGCAGCAGGCTTGTTCGCAGCTGGTGCTGTTGCAGCAGCAAGAAGGGGTCTTGCTGCTGCAGTAGCAGAAACATGAGCAGCAGCGCAGTTTGCTGCAGCAGCAAAAGCACTTAAGCTGCTGCAGCAAAATTGTGAACTGCGCCTGCATGCGCAGCGACTGAATTCACAGCAGCAAGAGCAGCAGCGTGCGCAGCAGCAAACTTTGTCGCGGCAGCTGCCGCTGCAAAAATTTTAAAAACAACTCCGTTTGTATTGCTTAGGAAGAGCAGCAGCAGCAGCAGCAGTGGCAGTAGCAGCAGCAACAGCAAGTGAAGCAGCAACTGCAGCAGCAGTAGAAATAATAGACTTAGAAACTGCTGCAGCAGTTCCTGTAGGACCGTTGTAGTAGAGCTAGAAGCAACAGCAGCAGCTGCTGCTGCTGCTGCAGTTCCAGTAGAAGCGGTGCAGTAGAGCTAGAAGCAACAGCAGCAGCAGCTGCTGCTGCTGCTGCGTTTCAAGTGCATTAGTTGTGCATGTGCACTTGTTCTATTGTTGCTGTTCAGATCTCCTACTGCAGCAGCTGCAGCAAGAATGGTGCTGCTGCAGCAAAATTGCTGCTGCTGCTGCACAAGGCTAAAATATAGCAACAGCCTTTCTTGGCGCTGCTGTTGATGTGCAGCAGCAGCTGCTGCTGCTGCAGCCGCAGCTGCAGAGTTTGTCGTTGCTGTTGTTGCTGCACCTGCTAGTATTGCTGTGGGCATTGCTTTGCTGCTGCTGCTGCTGCTGCCTTAGATAGCCACAAGGTCAGTCTTGTTCGGTGCAGGTTTTGCTGCAGCAGCAACAGCATCGCAGCAGCAGTGTAATCAGCAGCAGCAGCAGAAGCAAGGCGGGCAGCAGCAGAAGCAACAGCAAATGCTGTAGAGACCACAGCAGCAACTAGAGTTGCTGCTGCTGCGGACGCCGCAGCAGCAACAGCAGCACCAACACCGGCAGCCACAACAAAGGAAAGACCAGCAGCAGTAACAAAGTGCAACAACAGCAGCAGCAGCAGAAGCAGCAGCAACATGCCTATTGCCAGGTGTTGGTACTCCTCTGGGATCTCAGAAGCAGATTCGAAGAAGATGTAAGAAAGAGTAATGCGGCGCATCTGATCTGCAGCAGCAGCAGCAGCAGCAGCAGCGGCAGCAGCAGCAGCAAAAAGACAGAAAAGAGATTGAAAAGGAGATAAAGGGGAAGAAACAGAGACAACTAAGAGAAACAAAAAGACACAAAAAGAAATAAATAAAACGAAGAGAAGAAGTGATAACTAAAAGAATAATAAATAAAAGAAGTAAAAAGTAAAAGAAGTAGAAGATAAAATAAATGGCAAATCAAAGAAATAATAAATATAATAAACAATAACTATAAGAAATAATAAATAAAAGAAATAATAAATATATAATAAACAAAAGAAATAGTAAATAAAGAAATGGTAAATAAAACAAATAACAAATAAGACAAAAAGTGGAAAATAAACAACCAAAAAAACGCCAAAAAAAGAAAATAAAAATGCGAAAAGGTTGAAATAAAAGCAGCCAATAAAAGAGGAAAAGAAAAGCTTTAAGATGAAGTAAAAAAAGCGAAAAAAGAGTTAAAAAAGAAATCAAAAATAAAAAAAGAAATTGAAAAGAGAGTTAAAAAAAGAAATTCAAATAATTAAATTTAAATACCGAAACGCGGGTCGTCCAGAATGTCCGGGTCCACAAAAAACAAAACTGGCATATCCACTTCTTCTTCTGAAATCAAAAACAAAAAGAAATAAATAAATGGATAAATAAATAATAAACAGATTAATTAATCAATTAATTAATAATTGATTAATTAATTAATTAATTACTTAATTAATTAACCAAATAATCAATTAATTAATTTATTTATTCATTTGTTTATTTATTTATTTATTACCAGTGATAAATAAATGAATTAATTAATAAATTAATAAATAGCAGTAAATAAATAAATAAGTAGAATAATAAATAAATAAATAACGATTTCAAAAAAATAATCACTAAAGAATAAATTAATTAATCAATGAAAATGCAAAAAATAGAAATTAAAAAAGCAACTAAATAAAAATACAAAATGGAATTTAAGAAGAATGTAAAAGAATTAAAAGAAACTAAAAAAAATTTTTTTAAAATTAGGAAGGAATTAAAGAATTAAAAAGAATTAAAAAGAATTTAAAAGAATTTAAAAAGAAATTAAAAAAGAAATTTAAAAAGAAATTAAAAAAGAAATTAAAAGAATTAAAGAGAATTAGACACCACTAAGTCTCAAAATTTGATCTTGAAAGTAAAATTACAAAATTAAGAAGTTAAAAAAAAATTAGAGCAAACAATTAAACAGGTATAAAGAAGAATTAAAAAAGAATTAAAGAAGAATTAAAAAAGAATTAAAAAGAAATTAAAAAAGAATTTAAAATAATTAAAAAAGACAAACTTGGTCCCAGCAATTGCACTTCAAAAACAAAAAGGCCAAAAAAAAGATCAAAAAATGCAAAAAAAGGATGAAAGAAATAAAACAAAAAAAGGAAATTAAAACATAATTAAAATAGAATTAAAGTCATTTAAAATGAACTAAAAAGAATCAAAAATGAAAATTAAACCCAAAAGCATAAAAAAGAACATAAAACAATTAAAACAAACTAAAATAAATTAAAATAGAACTGAAATCAATTAAAAAGAATTAAAAAGAATTAAGAAGAATTAATAAAGAATTAAAATAACAACTAAAAATTACTTGGTCCTAACAACTGTTCTTCAAAACAAAAGCAAAAAAGACCGAAAAAAGATAAAAAGATATCAAAAAAAAGGAAATAAAAGAATAAAAGAAAATAAAACAATTAAAACAAATGAAAACAAATTAGAACAGAATTAAAATGAATTAAAATGAATTAAAAACAAATAAAAAGAATTTAAAAAATCAAAAAAATAAATTACTTGGTCCTAAAAGTTGTTCTTCAAAACAAAAGCACTGGATTTTGTTGAAGTACTGAGCCGCCTCCGCAGGCAGCACGTGATAGACAGACATGCCTGCATGCAAACCCTAAACCCTAAACCCTAAACCCTAAACCCTAAACCCTCAATTCTAGGCCCTAAACCCTAAACCCTTGATTCTAAACCTTTAATTCTAGGCCCGTAACCCTAATTCCTTAGTTCTAGACCCGTAGCCCTAAACCCTTGGACGTAAACTCTAGACCCTAAACCCTAAACCCTAAACTCTAAACCCTAAACCCTAAACTCTAAACCCTGAACCCTAAACCCTTAATCCTAGAGGCGTAACCCTAAACCTTTAACCCTCAACCCTTCAATCTAAACCCTAAACCCTTAACCCTTGCTGCTGCAGCGCCAGCAGCAGGAACAGCTCAAGCAGCAGACACAGCTGCAAGACTAGCAGCAGCAGCAGCAGCAGCAGCAGATTTAGAAGCTACTTAACGCGTCTCTGTCATTTCAATATTTTGCTCTCTAACAGCAGCAGCAGCAGCAGCAACAGCAGCAGCAGCAGAAGCAAAATGGCTTATAATGGGCCTATTTTTCAGATTCTTGGCTTGCTAGAAAGCTGAGACGACCGCAGCAGCAGCAGCAGCAGCAGCAGCAGCAAACCTATAATGGGTCTATTTGTCACGCTTTTGGCCCGCTAAAAAGCTGAAACGACGGCAGCAGCAGCAGCAGCAGCAGCAGCAGCAGCAAACCTATAATGGGCTTGTTTGTCAAGTTCTTGGCTCGCTAAAAAGACCGCACCAACACACCAACAACACCAGCAACACCAGCAGCAGCAGCAGCAGCAGCAGCAGCAGCAGCAGCAGCAGCAGCAGCAAACCTATAATGGGCTTGTTGGTCAAGTTCTTGGCCCTGTAGAAAGCCAAAGCCGTTTCTCCAGGGGCAATTTTAATTTGCTGCTGCAGCGGCCGGAAGCTCCAGGGCAAGTTGCAGTGCGAAGCAAAATCAATTGTGAGGATTTCTGAAATAATAACAATAAATAAATAAATAAATAAATGATTATTTAATTAATTTAATTGTGTTGGGTTTATTTAATTTAATTTGATTTAATTTAAGTGAAAAAGAAAAAATGAGCGGAGGGGGTTTAAAGCAGCAGGAGAGAGAGGCTGAAGGAAGTTTTAAAAAAGCAAAAGAAGAATTAAAAAAGAATTAAAAAAGAATTAAAAAAGAATCAAAAAAAGAGAAAAAAGGAAAGAAAAAGAGGCAAAAAGAGATCGAAAAGAGGGAAAATGGGGCCAAAAACGGACCATCTTTGCTGTTGCTGCTGCTGCTGCTGCTGCTGCTGCGCTGCCGCAGCGGCGCAGCAGCAGCTTGCCCCCGGCGGTGGGGTGGGGGCCCCAGGGCCCCCCCGTACCCTGTGCTGCTGCAGAAAGCAGCATAAAGAGGAGCAGCAGCAAAAGCCACCCCACACAATCCAAAAAAGAGGCAAATACAGCGAACCGCTGTTCGCCGTAGGG